CTGGCTGCCCTGGGCTGACTCGCGCCGTCGTCAGCCGGAGTCCGGCCCTGGGCACTGACGGTGCCCGGGCTTCCCAGGCGCCCTCCGAAGGCCCGATGGACGGCACAGTCGCGTTCTGTCTGCGCTGACCGTGGGGTCAGCGGGCGCCGCGTCTCCGAGAGGCCAGCGGCCGCAGGGCCCACGTCTGGCCAGACCCACGGCGGGAGCCGGGAGCTGTCTGCACCCGGGCTGAGCGGCCGGTGGCGACCTAGCCAGGGGCCGGCTGTCCTGCGGCTCCGCCTCCTCCTTGATGAAATCACTTCTCCCTGCGCTTCAAGGCCTCTCCGCGGCCTCTGGAGGTGAGAAGGCGAGGCCACGCCCCCTTCCAGGCGCGCGGCCACTGCACGGTGTGGCCGGGACTCCCGGACCCGCCCCCTCCGTCTCCTGCCGGCCCTCCACCCTGCCGTCGGTGTGAAGCCCCCATCTGCCGTCCCCTCGCCTCGGGGATTCCGGCTCAGGCGCGCTCCCAGCCAAACTGCCGGCGTGGGTGGGGGCGGTGGCGGCCAGGGCCTGCGCTGGGGTTGTCGTGTGTTCCCAGGACTCTGACGGGCAGCCCTCGGGCTCACCGATGTCGTTCATGTCCATTTCTTCTTGTCGGTGACAATGCAGAGCACGCGACGTCACGCTGCAGCCAGCCACGCCGGCGGGGTGGGGGCCGGGCGCTCGCCCAGGTGCGTCCTGGCTCTGGCGCGCCGAGTGTCGGGCTGGGCGCAAGCGCCGCCCCGGCCGTTCACAGAGCGGCGCCCGCACAGCCGCCTCATGCCCGAGCCCGGCCTCTGGCTCGCGTGGCTTTGTCCGTGCAGGTGCTCTGCTGCGCCAGGGGCTTCGCCGCCCCGGGGCCCGTCTGCGCCGGCTCTTCGCAACGGCATGTGCAGCTCGACGGGCTAGAAACGGCCGCCGATTTTCCCTCAGAGGGAGGAGGGCCTTCCCGTGCGACCTGCCCGTCCTCAGGCATCTCACACGGCACGAGGGAGACGCGTTGTAAGCCGAAAGGAATGTGAATGTGTCCTCAGAGACACCAGAGCTCTTCATTAGGCGCTCCGCCCTGCCTGATCCAGGTGATAAGCTTGGCGGTTCCTGAACAGAACTCTGCATCGGTCAGGGTGGCCTCCTGGCCTGCGTAGCAGCGCAGCAGTGGATTCAAGCAACCCCGACTGAGGAGCGCAGGCCCGCGCCCCTCCCTGCGGCGGGCGGCCACGCTGCCCGGCCGGCCCTGCCTCGCTGGCTTGGTCTGGGCCTTCAGTTGCGTTTCTGGCGTCCGGTGTAAAGTGCCTGTTCTCAGCTGGGCAGCTGACTTCTCCACCTTCTTCAGTGGGCTTTGATTTTGTCAGGCGCATACAAGGTCACTACCATAGTGAGCGCGGGTCAGGCCACAGCGTGCCGAGCCGCGCACGTCTCTTCCCGGGAGGGCCGCCGGCGACGGAGCGGAACCGCCTGACGCCCTGGTGGGAGCTGGCCGATGGCGGCGG